TGTGTGTGTGTGTGTGTGTGTGTGTGTGTGTTTAAGAACTAATTAAGTTATGTTTGAATGTTTTCCAATTTTGTAAAAAATTTTAATGGATTAAAAACATATCTTCTTGGTCATGTGAACGTTAAGAGAAACCAGTAAGGAAACGTTCTGTTTCATCATTTTGCAAATATTAAGGAAACATTACTTTTGAATGATTTCTCAACAAGCAAGTAATAATGTAAAAACACACACACATAAGACGTTTTCAGAGAAAAAAAAATCATGAACGATGTAGCCTATAAATAACATCTTTGTGCTAACATTTTGCAAAAGACCGAGCCAACGTCCTACTCGTGTAACTGGAAGAGCGTGTGTTCATAACCAAAACGTTCCCTGTTAGCTGGAGGCCTAAATGTTAAACTCATCCGTTAGTGTCAGGGCAGTAACGTGAAGGTTTGTATTTTTTTTAAGGACAAACACCTGACTGCATCCTGGACAGGCGGCAGGTTCCTGACTCTCCCATAACTGCGTACAGCCGGGGGCCAGATATACCGGTCTGAGCGCACTCTAACTGCGAGAGACGAGGACACTGTTCACGGACACCTGTTTGTTCATTTAATGAATTATGTTCATTTTGTGCAGCTTTTAATGGGACTTCTTCCAAGGATATATAGCTAACTCAAACTTTCTGACTTAAAATATTGAGAAAAATGAATTTGGCAGGCTAGCCTTACAATTAATTCAGTCCTGAGGCTTTCAATTTAAGCATAATCAAATATATTATTATTTAGGCTAATTTATCTCCGTAAATTAGGTTTCTGGGGTGCCTTTTCATAAACACTGTGGGCATAGTTTTGTCTGCCACCTTTATGATGAAGTATTATTTAAAGGAGCTGCCTCCAGAGATTAACATGAAGAAATAATTAAACATTTGCTCGCACCTCACCGCATTATTTTGGCATCCTAATCTAAATTCACAGTTATCAGTCTCACACTGCGTGTGCAATGCTTGCCTGCAAATGAAATGTAGTCCCATATCGCTCTCTGCTGGAGACAAACACACATTACATCATAAATAGACTTTCACCTGTTGATTGGTCGATTGTCGCGTTACCTGTGCAGGGCCGGCGCCACGGGGGGCGTGAGGGGGCATCTATCTATTTAGTAAGTGAAATGTACTTAAAGGGATAGTTCACCCAAAAATGAAAATGTGATGTTTATCTGCTTACCCCCAGGGCATCCAAGATGTAGGTGACTTTGTTTCTTCAGTAGAACACATTTGATGATTTTTAACTTTAGCCGTTGCAGTCTGTCAGTCGTATAATGCATGGCAATAGTAACAAAATCTATGAGAGTAAAAAAAACATGCACAGACAAATCCAAATTAAACCCTGCGGCTCGTGACGACACATTGATGTCCTAAGACACGAAACGATCGGTTTGTGCAAGAAACCAAACAGTATTTACATCATATTTGACCTCTGAGACACCACTATGTCCAACTGCTTTGTGCGCGCGCACGGCATCCGGTGCGTGAGGTGTGTACGCGCTCTGGCGTAGTTTACGCAAGCGCCGGAAGTGATCTCCCGCGCGTATACTTCACTTACTGTTTACACAGTGCACAGTCATTGTAGGTACGACGGCTAATCAAAATGGTACTTACTTGCTCTTATCCGGATTGTTCAAACCGACTTAAAACTAAAAGATTATGTTCTCTCGCGCGAACTCATTCGGGAGTGGTGACTTTCCACGTATTCGCAACTTCTGAGCCTCTGACTTATGGTTGATTGCTCTTCGGCTGGATATCAACACACCCATTAACGTAAAAGGGTGAACTATCCCTTTAATAAAATCATGTGGTACATAGCCTACATAAATAAATAAACAAACAGCAGAACTAAGCATGACCAGAGAGCAGTGGGAAATAATCTGATAATAACGCGTGAAATAAGAATTAACCAATAACCTATTGTTTCTGGTTCCTCTAAGAAAAGCGTTGTCATCAACATAACCTAAATAAAACTGAAGTGAATTTTTACAGTCTACGTCACTCTCATGGCGTTCACCCATAGGTTACTTAAAACGTGGTCACGCGACGCTTACAGTCAGTGCACTAACAGAGAAGCGTACTCACTGTTTACGCCGATTTCACCTCGTTATTGTTAACAGAGAGCACTTGTCTTCGTCTGTAAATAGAGCTCATTGACAGATTTACCGCTGTGTCTCAAACGGGATAGTTTGCTTTGTGAGCTGTTAGGTCACAGGTATGTCCTTCATTTCCTATAACGTTACCTTTTCTTAACATTTCCGTGAACTTCTAAAAAGCTGTGTTTTGGCAAAGGTTGTGTGTGCGCATTCAGTATGTAACAACTACAAATGTGTTACTACGGAAGCAAAAATAGACTGTGTGTCAAACACTAGTGAGCTGCCTATCTAGACGACTTTTTGGGGTATCATAGGCGCGACCCAAAGACGCTATCTTGGTAACCAGCTCACTTGGGTTAGAGATAGCGTTTATCCTTTTAAGGTTGCATAGATACTATGGATTTTTTTTTTATGATAGAAGTATCTTCAGGACTTCTTAGTGCACATGATTAGACTCATGTGAGGACTCATTTTGCACAAGAGACCATGTTCTCATTTACCCACAGTTATGTCATAACAAATGTTATATTATATGTTGTTATAACATATGGCCTTTTGAATAAGTGTAGCCTATTTTTTCATTTAGCAGGCGCTTTTATCAACAGCAACTTGCAAACAATTAAAAGTGTCAGATTTTGCTACTCCTTTTTTTTTGAGAGGCTTTTATGTCTCATATAGTGTGATATAGTAAGAATATTATGGAGCTCAATTTAGTGCACTTGTTATTAATATGGCCTATAAGTAATTCATTGAGATCTTTATAACAGAATTTCAGACTACTTACATAAAATGCAGATCAGTTGTCACTCTATATCCCCCAATAATATGTCTTATTAAGATGATTTTAAATGCTTAGTTTTATGATCAAACATCTGTAGTTTTTATTGTGGATGCAAAGCGTAATGCAATGCAATACATTGATGATTGAGAGATGCACAAATGTGACCCTGGACCACAAAACCAGTCTTAAGTGTCAATTTTTGCAAAAAAAAAGCTGAATAAATAAGCTTTCCATTGATGGATGGTTTGTTAGGATAGGACGATATTTGGCCGAGATACAACTATTTGAAAATCTGGAATCTGAGGGTGCAAAAAAATCTAAATCTTGAGAAAATCGCCTTTAAAGTTGTCCAAATGAAGTTCTTAGCAATGCTTGTTACTAATCAAAAATTAAGTTTTGGTATATTTACGGTAGGAAATTTACTAAATATATTTATGGAGCATGATCTTTACTTAATATCCTAATGATTTTTGGCATAAAAGAAAAATTTATCTTTTTGACCCATACAATGTATTTTTTGTTATTGCTACAAATATACCCCAGCGACTTAAGACTGCTTTTGTGCTCCAGGGTCACAAATAAAGAATTATACAAAAATACCCTTTACTTGCTAAAAAAGCAGAGGACAGAAGGTATGTAGTAGATGGTGTGCAACAGGTTTTTCAGCAAAGTTTTGATCATGCTGGTAATTTAAAGGCCTTTGAAATTCATAGGCTTTATGGGGTAAACCATTATAATGGACTATGAAAATTGATTAATTAAGCCATTCACACATTGATCTGTACAGTAACAGTATTTTTTCCCTGCTTGTCCTCCTGTCACCAAGGTTCCAGAACTAGATCACGTTACTATCAGGAAGCTCAGTCACATGACACTTTGCTCATGACTCTCATAACCTGCACAGCATCCACATTTCTTCACTTTCCTTGCGTCTTCAAAAACACTTCCACTTTTAAATCAGATGATATCCCAGAGTGCCCGCTGCATGTGAAAGATTTGCCAAGCTCATCAAGACTGAGACATGTGTCAGCCTCCTGGCTGTTCAGTCTATAGCCACTAATGCTGACGTCTGGCTCTTTCGGTATAACGAGCTGGCAAAAAGCCTTTTACTATAGAAGTGCTGGACACGGGAGACAGAACAAAGAATGGCACAAACACGTATACAAACGCTCACCATCCAGTCTACATGCTTGCACGAACACTGATTCCCCAGAGCCAGACTGACTCATATTTCATTTTTTAGGATTTGTATTTCCTCCTAATGCGCTGGTGAACCTCGACACAATGAAGTCAGATATACCATACGAAAAGGTAGGTTAATTTAATCTTAATTTAAATGATTTAGAATTGATTGTGATTCTTATATGCTCCTTAAATTCACTTATTGTTTAAGAGTTATCCAGTGGTTTTAATTTATAAATGTATGTGCACTTTTAAGATGCTATGTTTGATTAACTACAATTCTTTTTGTTTTCATGTCTTGATCAAGATGGTTGATGTGGAGCTAAGCAGAGGAGAAACACATCTTGGCTCACAAAAGGTATTAAAGGGGTCATATGATGCAATTTCAATTTTTCCTTTCTCTTTGGAGTGTTACAAGCTCTTGGTGCATAAAGAAGATCTGTAAAGTTGCAAAGACTAAAGTCTCAAATCCAAAGAGATATTCTTTATAAAAGTTAAGAGTCAACCACGCCTACCTAAAACGGCTCGTTCTAACACGCCCCCACATGTCTACATCACTATGTGGGAAGATTTGCATAACGCCGCCCAAATGTTCATTTCAGTGGTCCACTGGTAAATGAGGTTAACCACAGCACACTGTTTCACAGCTGCACTTTCAATGAAGTCTGCATTTATGGCTTTGTTGCCCATGTGTGTCATTTACAGGATTGTTTTAGTGGAGAGTATTCCTGAGGGACTGGTGTTTAACTCCTCAACCACTCATCAGTCCGTATATGAAGCCTGGCTCAACCTTATATCTGGTGCTCAGACCAGTCTGGACATCGCCTCCTTCTACTGGACTCTTACCAATGACGACACACACACACACGAGGCCACAGCCAATCAGGTTTGGATGTGAAGTTTAATGACTTCTCACTGAAGAATAGGCTGTGCTCGTGATGTCTTACCCAAGTGATCTGTTCATTGTAGGGTGAGCAGATTCTGCAGGAACTAGGACAGCTCTCGGGGAAAGTGTCGGTCCGAATTGCAGTCGATAAACCATCAAAGAAAAAACCTATGGATGACATTAAGTTTCTGACTGATTCTGGTAAGTCAACTTGACTTTGACATATTGCCACGCAAAAATAACAGCGTATATCAGCACAGGCGTAAACATTATATTGAACTAGATTGAAAAGTTTGTAGACAAAGCCAAGCTAGGAAGTTTGAAAAAGTTTTAAAAGCTTGCAGTCTGAAAGTTTTCACTTTGAAGTAGTTTGAAAGTTAAAATAGTTTGAAAGATTAAAGTTTGAATGTTTTCAAGGCCGTGTCAGAAAAACAGATAGGTATAAAACATATTGCTAGGGTACCTGGGGTGGTTGCTAGGCTGTTTCTAGCATGACTATTCAGTTCAATTCAAGTTTATTTGTATATCGCTTTTCACGATACAAATCATTGCAAAGCAACTTTACAGCATGACTAGCATGATGCTAACATGTTTTAGCATGATTAGTATGTTACTAGCATGTTGCTAGCATGATTAAAATGTTTCTAGCATGATTAGCATGTTGTTAGCACAATTAGCATGTTGCTAGCATTATTAGCATGTTTACTAGCATGTTTCTAACATGGTTATCATGTTTTATAACATGATTATCAAATTACTAGCATGTTGTTTGCATGATTAGCATGTTACTAGTACTAGCATGTTTCTAACATGATTAGAATGTTGCTAGCATGTTGTTAGCATGATTAGAATGTTGCTAGCATGTTGTTAGCATGTTACTAGCATGTTATTAGCATAATTAGCAAGTTACTAGCATGATTAGCATGTTACTAGCATGTTATTAGCATAATTATTTGGTGGTTGTTAAAAGTCTAGGAGGAGATACATTTTAAAATTTGGTCTCAGAAGCAGAAGAAGAAGTTTAAATAGGATTCCAGTAAGTTGGCTTTTTCAAGCCAACTTAATAATGCTTTACTTCCTGCAGGAGCTGATGTGCGGATGGTGAATATGCGAGAGCTGACGTCAGGTGTGCTGCATACTAAATTCTGGATCGTGGATAAGAAGCACATTTACATAGGAAGCGCCAATATGGACTGGAGGTCACTAACACAGGTCAGCCATATTTTTTGTCATTTCAAGGTTTACTAACTTTAATTGCCACATGGTTTGATATCAGTATTTGGGATTTTTTTGCTTCCTCACCTACTCGTTCATGCCTCATATAGTAGAAAAAATTACGCTACCGTTCAAAGGTATATTTTTTTGTAAAGAAAACTTTTTAAAACTTATATTCAGCGAAAATAAATGCAGCTTTGGTGAGTATAAAAAACAATAAAAATCTTACTTACCCCAAACCTTTGAATAGTAATGAATATAAACATTTTAACACGGGAGGAGAGATGTGCTGCTAATACTTTAAGTACTCAGACTTTCAACCACCCAGAAATAGCACCAATACTCCATATACTCTATATATTCCATATATTCATATATTCTGCTCAGGTGAAGGAGTTGGGTGCAGTTGTGTATGACTGCAGCTGTCTTGCTAAGGATCTTGGGAAGATCTTCGAGGCGTATTGGTACCTAAATCAGACCAAGACCGTTCCTGCACACTGGCCCAAAAACTACTCCACCCTGTACAACAAGGACACACCCATGCAGCTGTCACTCAATGGGACCGATGCCAGCGCCTATCTATCAGTAAGAGAGGTCCAGCACACTGGATAAACTGAGCTCAATCTTGAAAGGGAATAAAGCCAAGACAAAGCTAATGCACTGAATGTGACGCTGTGTATTCCTGTCAATGCCTTTGGAGATATAAACTAGCAATTGCGAGACAAAGTCAGAATTGCGAGTTATAAAGTCAGAATTGTGAGATATGAACTCGCAATTCTGAGAACATATCAGTCTTTTTCTCCCCTTCAAAATTGGACTTTAACTCACAATTGCGAGTTTATATCACGCAATTCTGACTTTATTTCTCAGAATTGCGAGTTTATATCTCACAATTATGATTTTATAACTCACAATTGCATGTTATAGTCAGAATTGCGAGATATAAACTCGCAATTGAGAGTCAGAATAATTTCAAAAAATTTTAAATTGGACTAACTATTATATCTCGCAATTCTGACTATATCTCGTAATTCTGACTTTATAACTCGCAATTCTGACTTTATATCTCGCAATTCTGTGAAAAAAATCGCAATAACCTTTTTTTATTTTTTATTCAGTGGCGGAAACGGGCTTCCATATATAGTAGTATATCAATGATGCAAAAACCAAAAAACTGTGTTGTTATAATAATATTTTTTTTTAGACGCAAGAAAACCTTTTTGGACTGGGGAGGAACTTTTGAGCTTCCTCATGATATGCCAGTTAAAATAAATGGTTCAAAAAGCCTATGATAAGTTAACAGTTCATATTCCATTAATGATGTTTAGTACTTGATCATTTGTGCAATGCAGTTAAAAAGTAAACCGAACAAAAACATTTTTTTTACTTATTTTCTTCCGTGCCACTGTACGTGATCCGTCAGGGTGTGTCTGTGACTGGGCACCGTCATGGAAGCTGAGGGTCACTGCAAGGACGTCCTGTGTTTATACAAGTGGGGCATGTTACCCTCCTTTTTAAATTGGCTGTAACATGTAACAATTACTGCTATGATTTCATAGAGACTTTTGGACCTCCATGAGCTCTTAGAGATCACAGCATTGTTCCTTTTTCCAGTAAATTCAGTCAAGAAGATGTGTGTGTGATGCTTCAGCTTCTTTGCTGTGTCTGCTGTCCACCTCAATAAAGCAACAAGTCACTACTACTACTACTATGAGATTTCTGGAATAAATTCCAACTCCAAGTTCCAGACCATTGTGAATCTGTATATTTGCACATACACAACCAGTCGATGAATGATTTCTTTTAATGTCTTAAAGATATTTCTTATGCTCAGCAAGGCTGCATTTATTTGGTCAAAAATACTGCAAAAACAGTCAAATTTATGTTAATATATTGTAAAAATGTCATTTATTCCTGTGATGCGCAGCTGAATTTTCAGTATCATTACTCATTACATTCTAATGCTGATTTTCTGCTCAAGAAACACTGCTTATTAATGTCAAATGTTAAAAACAGTTGTGCTGCTTAATATTTTTGTAGAAACCATGATACACTACCATTCAAAAGTTTGGGGTAAGATTAAAAAGAAAAAAAATTAAGAAATTTATACTTTTATTCAGCAATAAAGATACATTAAATTGATCAATGTGACAGTAAAGACATTTATAAGATTTCGATTTCAAACAAATGCCGTTCTTTTGAACTTTATACTCATAGAATATAAAGAATGGTGGTCTAATTGATGTGTAGTCCTATACTTTTGATAAATGATATACACTACCGGTCAAAAGTTTGGAATATTTATGTTTTTAAAGGAAGTCTCTCATCAAGTCTGAATTTATTTGACAAAAATACAGCAAATTCTGAAATATTATTACAATATAAAATAACTCTTTTTTTTATTTATTAGAAAACATTTTAAAATGTAATTTCCTGTGATGCAATATTAGAATAAATAAATCAGCATATTAGACTGAAGGATCATGTGACTCATGTGAGTAATGATGCTGAAAATTCAGCTTTGATCACAGAAATAAATTACATTTTACAATTGATTAAAATAGAAAACAGTTATTTTCATTTGTAATAATATTTCACAATATTACTGTTTTTACTGTATTTTTTGATCAAATAAATGCAGGCTTGGTAACCAGAAGAGAATTTTGAACTGTAGTGTTTTACTTTATTATTTATTTATCTATAATTCAGAACTAACCAGTTACATTTTTGTCTGATTTCATGTTTCTCACTGACGGACCGGAACTCAGCTTTTATGAAGATATGGAAGTAGCCGTTTATAGCGGCGTATGACATTAGGGATAAACATTTAATCATGTTTAAAAGAGATTTACTGGAAGAACACTGAATGCACAAAAATGATTTTAGCATTGTAATACAAAACAACTGTGCATTGTGTTTTGTAGATTGTGAACATTTCACTTTTTGAATGGCTCTGTGCCATTGCTACTGTAAATAAATGAACCTGCTAAATAAATGCTGTATATACAGCCCTTGTGCTGCTAAAATGTTTTTAGCAAGTGAGCTTCAGTTTACAGGTGAAGGCTATAAAGACAAAGCTATAAAAAAAAAACTTTGATTCAGATTCTGTTCATAAATAAACTTGATTTGAACAGTTAAACAGCATACTTTCTTGTGGAAAGGGATTGTGTTTTTATGGTCTGCACAGCAGATGAGGTATAGATAAAGCATTTTTAGTGTAGTTAGAAGACTTTGAGTTCAACACAGTAGAATGATAAAGTTTTATGGCATTAGTATTAATTAAGCTGATGTATAAATGTCTTACCGAGGCCTTTACTCAGGTTTAGTTGCTGTACGAGGTAGTCATGCTTTTTTTCAAACAGTATTATTCACTGAGCATGAATTATAAATATGTTTACTAACACCATATCTCAAATGAAATACCATGAGCCTGGAGTCTGTGGTTCTAATGCGTTAAAAATTAAGATTATTCAAGCTTCCTCGTCCAGAAAATGGATTAAGTGGGAGGCTGTTGGTTTATAATCTGCAACGTGCATTTTTGGACTATTACAAAACTGCTTTAGTTTCGCCTTGAATGAAGAAACCCATTACCTCACAAAAAAAATATATTGTCATTATTGTCATAAATAGGCAATAAGATACCAGAAGCCATGTTATACATAGTGAAAAAAAGTATATAAAATAAGTGTGTTTAACTGTATTGAATGTGCACTTATAGTGTATTTAAACCTTAAAAGAATGTTTTGAAAAAAAATTGTACATGCAGATAATTTAAATTTTTAATGAAACTATATACTTATATAATCCTACTATATATAAACTAAAATGTTATTTGTAAATGCTACTGCTCATGTTAGTTTTTAATATACGGTTTTATCCTGATAAAAGCTTTAATACAGTACGGCAACCGCACACGCGTCCATGTTTAACGCTTCTCATAGCTATGTGAAAATAAGTGTATAAACAGTTTATTGTTGGAGCTGAGCTGAATGAGAGAGAGAGATGCAGAGCGTGTGCAGAGCAGGGGAACACAAGGAACACTGTTAAGAACCGCTGCTTTAGAACATTGATTTTGAAACTTGTGAATCCATGAGAATCATTAGAAGACAGAATCGCGATTCATATATGAATAGATTTTTACGTGCACCTCTAGTTTTCTCTTCCTCTTCTCTAAAGCAGCGCAGCATGGCCTCACCCCCTTTGCTGCCTTTTCCCGAGGGTGGGGTTTATCTGGGTTTGTGATGTCACGAACCAGGGCAGTAACTCGTTGTAGTCCCTACCAGCCATTTTTGTAGGCATTAAACTGCCACAATTTTAAAAGACGATATCTCCGTTTGCATTGAACTTTTCGCTTCGTAACTTTGCAGATATTGTTTATGCTCAAACAGCAACATTACACACTAACTAACATTAAAAAAGTGAAATCGCAATCAACCACCCCTTTAATGTAAATGAATCATTCTCTCTGCCGGTTGGTTCAAAGCGAAGACTTATTGTGTTGCTCGCAGAGGCGCAACTCTTCTGCTGGAGATTTGTTTCGAAGGCAGTGGTTAACACAAAGCCTACATCTTTTTCAGAAGTTATATAAACATAAATAAACGGCACATAATACAGCATATCCCTTTGAACACACTTCCTTTTTTAAAACAATTTCTACATATGCAGTGTGTCAAAGTTCTAGATTTAGTCCCTGCCATGTGAACGAATGCTGGTCTTTGGTGTCAGAGCTGTTTGTATATTGCATAACTGGAATTCTGTTTTGGCCAATCAGGACTGGTTCTATTCATTTTAAATTAACCGCAATCATGTGGAAATATCCTTTGACAGCCCCTCTTTCATGGATGTAGGCCCTTGCCTCTTCGATCTGAGAATCAGTAGCAGTGAAGGAAGTGAAGAGGTGTGCTGCCAGTGATGCCTGTCCGGGCCTGTTTGTGACTGTGAGTGAGGGAATGTGTTTTTCTATTAATTATATTGTGGGAGCTGTTGAGCTCTGTCTGACAGAAGCCCTGATAGCGGTTTCTCACTAAGCCAGATAACAAGGCCCTGTTGGCCCGGGACTGAAGCCACGGCACTGATGAACAAAAGACAGGAGCTTTAGTCAGGGGGCCGCAAACTGCTGACTCTCAGCGCCAGCTAATGCAGCATTCTGTCCTGTCTCCCCGTTGTCAGCCTCTGTCCATCCATCTCTTCTCTACCGCATTCTCATTCACTTTTGACACCAACATCCCCCCCAACAAAGAAACCCAAATTCACACCCTCTGTATCTACTTCCGACTGACCCGACTCCCTCCTGTATCGGTTTGCTCTCTCTTCCCGACTCAGTGACCATCTCCCCTTCATGCTCGCTGGAAGTGATCTGCTCACAGCACCCGGCCCGAGGTCTGACCCGTATCAGTGGTGCGTGGGATGCGTGTTCGGTGTGCGTGAGCGTGTATCTTGTCTTCTGTCATGTGTGAGTGTCTGCGAGGGATCTTCCGTGTCACCTGGACACCCTCTTCAGATGCAGGTGGGTGTGCTGACATAACACCCCTCGTGAAAAAGAAGTGTGCTTAACTGTATTGAATGTGCACTTGTAGTGTATTTCAAATCTTAATGTATTTTTAAAACTGCACTTGCAGATAATATAATATCTGCAAGTGCAAATAAAAGACCGTTTAAGAGCACTTAAAGAAAGACACTTTCATGTCAATGTTTCTTAACACATTTAAGTACAATTACTATTAAGTACATTTTAAATCATATTTTAATAATCTTTTGTTGTGCTTTAAGTATACACTTATTTCGATGTGTTGACTAATATACTGAAGCACATGTAAAGTACTTGATTATAACTGAACTATAGTGTGTTATTTGATATTACGCTAAAAGTTCATATATTTTAAATGTACTAGTATAAGTCACTTTATCATTACAAATGTTTAATTACATATATTTTTAAATATATGACACAAATTTCAATAGAAATAATATCAAAGTATATTTTAGTTTACCATGAACGCTTGTCGGTACATTTGGCAGTACGCTAAATGTGCACTTGTAGTGTATTTCAAATCTTAATGTATTTTTAAAACTGCACTTGCAGATAATATAATATCTGCAAGTGCAAATAAAAGACCGTTTAAGAGCACTTAAAGAAAGACACTTTCATGTCAATGTTTCTTAACACATTTAAGTACACTTACTATTAAGTACATTTTAAATCATATTTTAATAATCTTTTGTTGTGCTTTAAGTATACACTTATTTCGATGTGTTGACTAATATACTGAAGCACATGTAAAGTACTTGATTATAACTGAACTATAGTGTGTTATTTGATATTACGCTAAAAGTTCATATATTTTAAATGTACTAGTATAAGTCACTTTATCATTACAAATGTTTAATTACATATATTTTTAAATATATGACACAAATTTCAATAGAAATAATATCAAAGTATATTTTAGTTTACCATGAACGCTTGTCGGTACATTTGGCAGTACGCTTTAACCATATTTCAAAGACAATAGAACTAATCATGAAATTACATATAAAGTTGTACTTAAATTAAACTAAAATGCACTTGTATAATTGTAAATATTCATTCAGTTAAGTGTCAAAAACATTGCATTCAGTTCACAATTAAGCATTTTCTTTTTAAAGTATATTACTGTTTTTAAAAGCATTTAAAGTTTCACAAGGGACTGCATGTCATATATTCGCCATGATAACAGTCCATTCAGTTACTATATAAAGGATCAGAAGTACGGTGTTATTTTGTTGCTGTTTAACCTGTCTTACATTACTTTTGTCAAGCACTATTAGTCGTTTTAATGTGCTTGTAAATGAAGATGAGATTTCGAGTAGATACAGGTGTCATTAGTGTATAACAGGCTCTTTATCGGCATAATGTCTAACTGGTTACTTAGAGAACTGCAGTTAGAAGTGTGTGCTGTAGTACATTGTCCTTTACATTACATTTACATTGTACATAGTCCAAACTTATTTTATAGACCGGAAGTTGAAAACTGCGGTTACCTAAGTTTCATGTCTCTTCTAAGCTCACTTTAGTGGATCCAGTGTTATATACCGTTGGATTTGGATCAGAAGTTGCTTTGGTGGCATTTCAGACTTAAATCAAACCAGTTCCTCTTTTTGCCTCATTATAACACATTTTCATTTAACATGCAAGTAAGTGTCTGGAAACATTACATTCAGTTCACAGTTAAGTACATTATAAGTGCTCTTTTTAAAAGTGTGCTAAAGTGCATTTCTTTTACAAGGGTGGTCAAGCTCAAACACCTTAACGTCACTAATTTTAACCAATGTGTAACCACAATGACAAGAAAATCAACAGAAAATAAAGAGCTAAAGCCAGCTAATTAGTTAAAGGCACAATAAGTACGATTTTTTTTATTAAAATATCCAAAAACCACAAGAACAGTGTTATATATTTTGCTGACTTGTGTACTTACATTATCCCAAATGTTTCGAAGAATGTTTAAATCCAGAGAAATAAGCAATTTTAACTAGTGACACGGAGCGTGTCTATAGTGTCATTGTGTCGCCTGTCAATGACGTCATAACCCCTCGATTTCCGATTCTTTTGAATACGCGCCCTCTAGCCGCGAAAAATTACATATTGTGCCTTTAAGCTAAAGTTAAGTTAATTTTGATGTTTTGCTATCACTTGAAACTGGTTAAATTATTATACTAATTTTTGTAATTATATCACATAGGATGTTTTTCAAAATTACATAATCCAATAAATAACGTCAACATTTCACAAGCTAATACTTACTGATGTTTGTGTTGTTTTCCTGCTGAAAATGATGTCACTTCCTGGTGGACAATGTCATTAAGCATCTGGCTTTTTTAGTTAAGTGGATATTAAAAATGGCTAAGATGAAAAGTGAAACTTAGGACAGCTAATAATTAATAATAATATATTATTTATCAACTGCCAGTTTTCATGTTAGAAGAGTACAACAAAAATGGTGACATCTCAAAACGGAGCTTTGGAATGATTCAGATATTTAAATTATTTAATATTATCACCTCTGTTTTTCCTTAATTGTGATGAAGTACCACAGTGTTTGAGATGGCAGATGTTTTCTTTCAAATATTTATAACAGCTTGTATGAGAAGGAAAGGAAGTATGTCAGATATGTTTGCTTATCTTGAACAGGATTTCATGAATCAATGTCGAAAACCTAAGATATTGTAGAAAATCCCTCTCTTTTGCTTTGTCATGTGATCACTTTGCCTGTCTGTTAGTAAATAAGCATCACATGACATCTACGCCCAGCTGTCTGCTCTAGATTCTTGGCTGGCTATTTTGCTGATAGGTGCATTCGCTAATAAACTGGACACTTCACCTTGTGCCAGGGAATCCTATCCTGCCCATTATGCTGCTTATCCTACTACTAATACAGGCATTACAACAATGTGAACACCCCGGTTGCCGGGTACCCAGCTAGAGGCTTTAAGTGCTATTTTGACCCTGTCAATCCACCTGCGTGTCACACTGTGGGGATAATGAATTTTGGCAGCATCTTGTGACCTGTTAGAGCTGTTTGGGCACCACCCCGGTTCGGTTTCAACATGACCAAGCTGCCCAACAAACAAGCAAACACACTTCACTGTTGGACAGAAAGCTACTTGTGCAAGCGCTAGCCTTGAGTGTTAAGTCCGAGACAACAGCTGCCAGACCTAAAAAAAGTGAACAAAAACATAGGCCTGCTATTCCGTCTTGTCCAAAAATACCTCATCACAACTTCTTTTTCCTTTTCCAGATGTTTGGATTTTGCTTGTTTAGTAGAGATTTGTTTCTTACTGTTTCACAGTAAACCTGCATTCAGTCCTCCTGGGAAGTTTGTATTTACAAGTTGGAAAGTCATAACTACATCATCAGGTGTGTTCAAGTCACTTGATGGTGATAGGCGATGCACCTTTTCTGCAAAAAAAGATTTTTTTAAACTCTGCTTCTACAAATGATACTTTTACTGATGAATAAAGAATGCACATCAGGTGCGGTTTTGCTTTTTTAGGTTTTTATTTCTTTTATGAAGGTGTTGCATGACAGGGTTTCTACAAGTTTTATGAAGGTAAATGTAAGACTTTTAAAAGATCTCTCAAAGAGCAATTAAAGAAAATGTAAGGAATAAATTCAAGCAAATACAATTGGTCAATATGAAAATGATTGAAAATACAACTCCCATTTACTATAATTGAGATACTATTATCTCTATTGCCTACTATTGTGGTTTTTATTCATATTTAGGTTATATTATACAAGTAGGTTTTATTTTTATGTTTTTAGTAGGCTACATCAAGTTGCAACTAGCTGAAATTAATTAATTAATTTATTTAACATTTTATTTTATTGCAGTTCAAATTTATTTTATATGAAACTTTATTTAAAACTGAAACTTTTACCTTTATTTATTAATTTGTGGAAGGGTGAGTTAATTACGACTTTGTGGTGAATGGTTAATGTCCGTTCAATTCTTAAATACGATGTTTCCGACACGACTTGAACTTACCATCAGAGTCATATTCTTCTGTGTGTGTGTTATGATAGTAAACTGTTCGTGTCCGTATAAGAATGGCAACTGAGATGCTACTCTAGGACCCCTCACCTCCCGTCCCCGCCCTCCCACCCTCTGTATTTGGGGCATCCCACTGGCTTTATCCAATTGGATTGCTGACCGCCTCCCCTAACAGAGACCATAGTAATACTGCAAATGTCCCGGTCCGTGTGCGTCAGTCAGAGAATACGCTTGCTGAATGTAGGGAGGAGAAAGAGAGAGTTTATTACTGAGGGAATAATTGATTCTGCACAAGGAAACACTCAATAAAGGTGAGTAATAGATGACTTGTGTTGGGTTATGTTGGGTGACATTGCCGTGTGGAGCTTTGCTCACAATAACAACATGACAAGACTCTTAGATTGATATGGAAACTTTAGTACAGATAAATACGTGCAGGATTGACTTAACTCTTGGTAAATGGAAGATTTGCCCAAACCTGATGAGGATTACTTGTTACTTTTATTTAGGTTTTGGTGCTTTCATTGTTTTTGTGATAAAATACCAAATGCTGTATATTTAATTTGTGCTAAGAAGTTCATTATACGAGAAACTCTCAATGCTGACCAGATGAAGCGTTTTCTGTCATTTTCTGTCTGTCTGTGTGTGTGTGTGCATGTTTATGTGGTTTTATGAGGACACAAATTTGTATAATAACATGGGTATGACATAGGTATTACAACGTTGATAAAATACCAAATGCTGTATATTTAATTTGTGCTAAGAAGTTCATTATACGAGAAACTCTCAATGCTGACCAGATGAAGCGTTTTCTGTCATTTTCTGTCTGTCTGTGTGTGTGTGTGCATGTTTATGTGGTTTATGAGGACACAAATTTGTATAATAACATGGGTATGACATAGGTATTACAACGAGAAGGTGATTTATGAGGACATTTTCAGTGTCCCCGTAATTCAAAAGGCTTATAAATCAT